ATGTTTGGAATGCATATATGCAACACCCGTCTGTAAGATCAATGCAAGCAGAAATGCACCAGTGCATCACCCAGCTGCTAATGACATGTGGGACTGATGCCTCTATGACACACGCGTCTGTAGAGGGTTTTCATTCAGCAATATGCCATCGCAAAGGGGTTAAGAAATTTATTTAATCTTAGTAAAAAGAAATGAGGTTTTTAATTTTTTTAAATTGAAATAAAAATAATTTCTTTGTCTTTTATTTGTGCAGTAAAAGAAAATGAGATTATGATCTAAATAAAAATTTATTTTAGTATCTTATTTTTATTGAAATGCATGGTGAGTATAGGCAAAAATAATTTTGTCTGATTTTTTAATGAAAGTGTGATTTGTACTTGTTTTTTTGGAGGGGTGATGCAAATATTTATTCATTTATTTAAATTTAACTACTACTTTTGCTGAAGTAAAGTACTACAAAATGCCAACTATTAGTTTATAGCTATCCATAATTTCAATTATTAGAATTATCTGGACCTTAAGATGTAGCATATTGTTTTTGCTAGTATAGTAAAATTCAGCTTTATTTTCTCCTCCAAATACAACAGAAAAAATATTTTGGTCACTTTATGGCATTCACTTATAGACTGTTATTTTCAATTAATAAAGAAATATAATTTGGGCTAAATTTTAGTTGAATACAGGTTATGTTGTTTGACTCTGGGAGGGGAAAATTCTTTTATTAAATTAGTATAAGGAAGATAAAATCGTGTGTTCAATTTTATTTGCTGTTTTAATAGAAATTCTAATTAAAAATTAATTTCATTGTTTTATTTTAGTTCAAAATAGAAATTAGTTGTGTATTTTTGCAAATAAAAAATTGCTCTATGATCTCTTGTTGAAATAAAATATGATAATTGAAAAAAATTCCTCTCTTGCATATAACAGTAAATACATATTTGGTAACTGGTTGGAAAGTGACTACCCAATTATCCAGACTTTCTTATTGTCTCACTATCTAAATATTTTGAGTTTTATTCCATCTCAATTAATTTTAGCAAAGCATTTGAAGGCTTTCTGTCCTAATATATTTTATTATAGTAGCACTCAGCTGCAAAATGCTGAATATTTGCAGAAATTCAGGTAAAAGTGAGAAGTATAAAGAAAAATATAAACTTTTCTCAAAAAGCTAGGAGAAAATTGGAATTTTTTCCCGAAAGGCAGGGAGTTTTCCCACACAGTATAGAATTCCTTTTAAAATAATACCTGGTAACAAAAATTATCACTCGTAAAAAAGAAATAGAATTGCTCAATCATTTTCTGAGCTGCTATAGACATAAGTACAACAACCTGTAGCACGTGTACCACTGGTGGTATGCAAGAGAAAAGTAGGTAGTAAGCAAATAAACAAAGTATTTTTAACTATTAAATTCAAAAATTAAAACCTCAATATCCTGATTGAGTTTTTTCTCTAATACTCGTAAATTTACGCGATCTGAGCTTTATTCAAGAGCGGTGGTGGCGAAGTTGCCAGATCATGCAATTTTTTGCAGATTTGCTACTTTTGACAAACTTATGCTAATAAAATTTTAGAATTTGCGATTTTGCGAAATTTTTGCGACATCCATCATTTTCTTATGCTATTTTTTGCGACTTCAAAGATTTTTTTTAATGTATTGTAAAATGCTTTTATGTTAAAATAATGTATCAATTAATTATATTTTATATATATATAAAAAAAGTAGTTTATTTAGGCTTAAACAGAAGTTGGCATCTGGCATTCTTGCTTATATTTTGGCTTTCCTTTACAAGCTTGCACAGACTGATGCCTGAAGTTGAAAAAGTGAGGAAGAAAACAAAACTGCTTTGAGACCAGGTCTCAAAGCAGATCCCCTCATCCTCCGTGCCCCCTTCATCCTCCTGCCCCCTCATCCTTCGTGTGTTTTGTTTTTAAGTCAGTTCCCCGCCCCCATTTCTATGGTGATAATGAATCGAACGGAAGAACTTGTGGGTTGCGCGCTATATATTGGGTGCCCAAACAGAGGAAAAAATAAAATTCATTCTCCTGATTATAATACTTTTGAAAACTAAGCAGTGGAAATAACTTAAAAATCGAAACAAAGCAATTTTTACAAATAACAACAAAAATAAATTTAACAATGAACGAACAAGGTTTTTTTTTTTAAGTAATCGGAATGCTAAAATAAATCCACCTCGTAAAATGAACATGTCACTGACAAGCATTCCTCAATTAAAATGTTCACAATTAAGACAAAAAAAATTAAAATCAATGTATTGCCAACTCAAAACATTTAGTACAAAAGCACTAACAGTCTAAACGTGAGGAATCTCCTAAGAATGGATATGCACAAATTAATTTAGAAATAGAAACCTAAATTAAATTAGAATGAATTAAACAAGAAATAGATATTTAAACAATTGAAAATAAGCAATATAGTTTTAAAATTTTCATTAAAGCCAAGCTGTGTTATTAAAAAAAACTTTGAATCGAATACAGTGTGTAACTTACAGAACCAATAGACGGTAAATTTGTGATGACGTCACAAAAATCACGCAATCTCTGATGTCAGCTGTGATTTTTTAAAGTCTTCTTTTGCTATTTTAGTTGAAAAATTTCTGACAACACTGGGCGGTGGTAGTAGTACTTTGTAGTGGTGGTACTAAAGGTTTTCAGTTTTTGTTTAGATGGTATGTGTTAGTCAAAAGGTTGAGAATTGCTGGTCTATAGTATATAGTCTCTATTTTTAGTAACTGTTCCATTACACTTCTCTCTCAAAGTATAATTGCCCTTCAGAAATAAATAGCATGATCAAATAGTTATGCTAAGTATTTTCTTCAATTTAATTTTGTCACACCGTACGAGTAATATTTTTTATGAATTTAATATGCAGAATGAATAGCTTTTTTTTTCTAAGATCTGATGTCTCTTCTCTTTTTTAACTTTCTACTTTTCTTTAATGATTTAGATGCACATTTTCTAAATCTATTTCTTTCATTTGTTTTATGATCATAATCAGAATTTTATTATGTTTTTTAGTAAATGCATTAAATTATTCAGTTACTCACTTTCTAACTAATTTATTGTATTTGGTTGAGAAAATTCCTCAATTTAATCAAGGAAAATCAAGGAGATTAAAAGTTAAATTTTAACAGAAACCTGGCATAGTATACATTGAACACCAATGCTGTCCGTCTCATGCTAATCATGTATCAAGCCAAGTGCCATAAAGATTCTATGTGCAGAGTGATAATGATAATAAGTGCTATATTTTAGATTGTGTGCAGAAGTCCATTTGATTTCAAAAAGTAATTTTGAATACCTAATTAGTTATCTTGCTCTTGCACACTCATTGTTTGTTTTCCAACATTACCACCATTGTTTGTTTCAGTATTGGCACATTTCTTCAGAGGCTAATTCATTTTCTGTAAGATGGTGGCTAACTGATTTTTGACAGTGATCCAAGTGTTTTATTAACTACACTGATAATAACATAGCGACTTTCACAGCTTTCTGTACACCTAGGGTCTTGATTTTAGGAAGAACTAGAGATTTAACTGGAGCAATATGAGGAATGTAGGTAGGATCTTTTAACTTGATGATTAATAAATAGACAGGATCTAGATCTTCTTGGTTGTGACTCGTGATTGTTGTCAACAGTGGCTCCATATTCAGAAGAAATGCATTAAATTATTTATACAGTTACACTGATAAGTGTTGAAAAACTAAGCTTATGCCCTTCCCTAAAAACAGGAAGAGAGAAAGTAAAGAGAAGAATTAAGCAAATATGTAAATTTCTGTGAAATTGAATGAACTTCTCATTTGTGTACTCTCTGACTTTATGCAAACTGAATTTTTAAGTCTTTTAAATTTAAGAACATAGGGCAAAAATTAAAATATTTTAGCAGTTTATACCAAAAATAGAAAACCTCAGAAATTTAATTATAATCTAAAGTGAAACATCACAGCTGTTAAACTAATTAGTACTTAAGCTTCGTCAGGTATTCAGAAAATCCTGATACTTGCTCTGTGTCTGTATGTTGATTATGCATTTACTGCAACACAACATGAAATTTTATATTTTCATTTTATCCTGTTTTAACAAAGGTTATATTATTACTAAAATAAAATATCTTTATATGCTTAAAAGAAAATACAAAATATATTATTTTTGACTAATCTAAACAATGGAATTTTTTACTTAAATTTGTATTTTACACAACTCATTTCTATTTTAGTTAATGAAATGATGAATTTAATTTTTATTTATAGATGACCTAAAGCTAGGTGAATAATCTTTTTATTTTTACCATACTAAAAATAAATAAAATATTTTTTTATTTGTGTGAGATAAAATATGTAACATTTCTCTGCTACGGAAATAGATCCAACGTTTTTTTAGTGGCCTAAATTAATAAAGCCAATGATGTGACACATTGTGTACTGTTATTATTTTTTATGTAATTTAAACTGACAATGATACTATTTAAGTAAATTAGCTATAAGCTTAATTTTACTTAGGCTAGAAAGAAGATTAAGTGATTCTGGTAATTGAAATCCTATTCTGTATAAGGTATTTTTTCTTGAATGATGCTATTTTTTTAACCTTTTAACTATCATGCCCAAAATAATCTCAGTCACAGCACTGGTCTTCCAAAATGCCACACCTGAATATTACTTGGGCTAATTTTTTTTTTGGGTGCATTGTATTGTTATACCCGAATATATATCGTGAGAAGTTTATTTCGGCTTCAGTTCAACAGATGGCAGCCCTTTACTGAAGGTTTCAAAGGATAGAGTTTAAAATTCATAGTGCGCTGCAAAAAAAAAAAAAAGGGGGGGGGGAGGCAAACATTTCATTTTTGGAATTAAAAAAAAATGACAATTCATGCAACCAAATCATCAAAATAGTTTGACAGTTAGCTATATCGCAAGGTAAAAATAAAAGGTCAAAACACATAGAGAAATCTGCATTTACTTATTAAAAAAATTCATCTTTCAGGTCAGAAGTAGGTGGTCTTATAGCAGATATATTTGGTGAAAGTGATGATGATGAAGAATTTGAGGTATTTCTTTTTGATTGTATTAATTTTAATATTATATTAATAACATACCATCTTTTTCCGAAAATAAGACACTGTCTTACTTTCTTTTTTGGTCCAAAATACGCGCTAGGGCTTATTTTCGGGGGAGGGCAAAAATAAAAGTATATTTATATATTTTTTTATTTAATATTTATTTTACACAGAATACAGAAATTTAAATTTATTCAATTACAGTCATGTCATCTTCTTCTGGAAATCGTCATAAATAAAATTCTGAATTATATTCTGATTTTCTTCCAAATCCATTTCCTGTTGAATCATCGGTCCGAATCTCTCACGTCTTGCGATATAGCTATCGTTAAATGAATACTTCTTGTCTAAGTAGCCTGTTTGTAGTGCATTGGAAACATCACTATCAGTTATTTTGTCCCATGAATTTTTTACCAAATTCACAACTTCTTGTAAGCCTGGTTTTACAAAATTACCTCAATGATTTCTCACCATTCTGTTTTCTATATATTCATTGATTTCCATCCGCAAATGATCCTTGAATGGCTTGTTTATTGCAATGTCAAGTGTCTGGAGGTGGTAACCAGTCATTCCTGCCGGAATCATTATTTGATCAATCTTCCTCTCAGCAAGAAAGTTTTTCATGTCTTTAGCGCGGTGAGTATTGGCTGAATCCCAAACTAGTAAACCTCTATTCTGACCCCTCAACAGTGGGGGCAGCATAAAATCAACCCACTTTCTTATAACTGCTTGGGTGCACCAGGCGTTTTCACTTTCAATGACATAAATTCCTGAAACACGTTGAATCTGGTCTTTTTTACATTTAGTGATTAAAAATGACAATACTTTCTTGCCATCTAGATGAATCGCCAAAATACAGGTAACACGTGCACTATCATAACCGGTAGGAGGAACGTAAATTGACGAAGAAGCCTTGTGGTGAACTGTAGTTTGAGCTCCTTGGCCTAGGAATACCGTGGTCTCATCCATAGCAATCATGTTGGAGAGTTGGTATTTCGAAAAATTGATGCCATCAACGAAAAGCTTAAACACAAGTGCACGCTTAACAACTTCATTGTCTTCCAGCTTAAACAATGTTGTTGATCTCCTTAGAGACAGCTCATATCATTTAAGGAAGTTGTCCAACCAGTGCGACAATGCTTTAAATTCTTCTGTGGATATATCAAATTCAATTGCTGTTTAGAGGGCAAATTTTTGAATATCAGCCCTGCACAACCAAAGCCATTGCTCTCC